TAATTTGAGATCTCAGAATTTTGTCATGAGTTATTGGTATGTATATATTATACTATTATCCAGATTGCTGGAAGATTCCCCTCCTACCATACCTCAACAATGGCAATATCATAGACATTCTGAAGTAGAAGGGAGAAAATCTTGGAGTCCTACCCTTAGACAAGAAACTACAGACAACTGATGACCTCTGAGAGAGGGAGAATTAGCCTCTCCCAAGGATGAGCACCCTAACTGGTTATCTAGTACAAAGTGGTCAGCCCTGAAATCATATGTACATAGACAACAAAAGGGGATTCCACAGATTATACTTATGTATTTGTGCATAGATACACATTTATATCTCTCTCCATATATAAAATATATATTAATAATAATAATTAGGGGAGAGCATTCTATCAATTTGAGAGTAGATGGGGACATGGAAAGAGTTGGAGGGAAGGAACTTTGGAGGGGCTGAAGGGAAGAAAGGGAGGGGGAAATGAATGTAATTCTATTAAATTAAAATTTAAAAAAGAATAGTCTGAGAGAGCAGGTCATTAAAAGCAGGTAGAAAATGTACACATCATTGCTGAGGGATACTGAACAAATGCTGGTACCCGCCCCCTATGATGTCACTATGCTCTTGATTGACTTAATTGGCAAGATAACAGAACAGAACACCTTTACTCATTTTTGATGTTTGGTTTTTGATCAGGGTTGTAGCAGAACCAAGAAAAAATAGCTTTGAGAGAGTAATTAGCCAACTAATTAGTAAGTCTGCTTATGTCTTTATTTTCACCATGTTTATTGGGCATAAGTATTCCTGTTTCTTTGAGAATATCAGGGCCTAGGAAGAGCAAGGAGTTGACTGCATCTGAGCAGGACTGACTTCAATCCAGTTGGGACTCTGTTCTCTTTTTGTTTTGAAACTTAGGAAGAGATGGTAGCCTCCTAAATGCTGGGGAAGCAGTTGCTGGGTGGGAGAGGGCTCCGAGGAACGACACAAGTGCAGAGTCCAGAAATGTTCAAATAACACAGCTCTAAGGCTTGACTTACAGCTCTCACGTCCACTCGTGAGGTAGGGACTATTATTGCCCCTATGTTTCCAAGGAGAAAACTGAGGTAGAGTGTGAGCAGGTGCGTCTCCACTGAGATGGGGAGTGGAGGGACTGGAGTTTTTACTCAGCAGTGTGGGATGAAGCTCTCGTAGCAATAATAAGATGAGCTCGTGAGTTTTCAGTGAGGAGTCCTTCACGCAACATGTAGGAGCTCAGAAAGGGATCAGCGCTGTCATTTAGCTTTCATAATAGAGACTGAACGTCTTAAGCCAATAAGGATACAGAAGCAGGATATTCATTAACAATGAGCTTTGTTCTCTGCTCTCACAGTCTATATGAACAGTTAATAATGACTGTTCTCTATAGGCTAGAGTTCCACAGATGTGGGCACTTCTCAATGCCACTGGGTGAGGTGACAAGGGAAAGAGCACCCTTCTCCCTAATCACATAAGGATAGTGCCTGAGTTCTTTTGTCTGGCCTAATGATTTCAAAACAACCAGTTAAGTTAGTAACCATGATCTGGAAGTGCGGAGAGACAAGCTTACCAGGCACTCTACTGAAGACTATCATTTCGTGGCTGGTCACTCTCAATCAATAATTGCCAAGCTGGGAAAGACATTCGAATTGATTGCTTGCTCTCTTTTCTTCTTCTTCTTCTTCTTCTTCTTC